GCCCCCCCCCCCAAAAAAAACCCCAATCAACTCACCTGCCCAAATGGAGACCTTCACCACCTGCGTCCGATGGCCGACGACATTCTTGCTGTGCCCAGTTCAAATCCCGAACCTCCCGCCGGGGGCAGTCCTGTGGGGAAGGGGGGGCAGGTCCTCAGGGGACCGGCAGCACCCGGGGCTGGTGTCCCTGCCCGACTGCCTGGGGGCACCTGACCCAGCGGCAAGGTGCTCCCCCTGCGCCCCTCAGGGCAGAGAGCCAATCACTGTACCCCCGAAACAGCACTCGGTCTCGGCCGCAGCTAGTATTGGACAAGAGGGTCTCCATGCTCACACGTAGGTGTCACCGCGGCCCGGGACCGGTGACAGGCCAGGCTCGGTGCCGCCAGCTCTTCAAGTCCATTGCCACTCACCCTCACGGCCTTCCCGGGGCAGGAGGAGGGGCTGTCCTTGGCTTTGTTTTGGAGGAGAGCCAGAGGATGGAAACTGAGGCCCAGGAGGCCGAAGGAAGGAGTGGGTGCTGACCCACCGGAGGGAGGACGCCGAGGCTGAACAAGGCACCAAGGCGGTTTTCCTGGGTTAGCAACCTGAGCACAAGGGCCGGCCAAGGTCGCACAGCTGGTAGATGGCAAGCTGCAGACCCGGAGCACATGCCCAAAGCCCTCCGTGACCCCACGGTCCCCTGGGTCCAGGACACCCCTTCAGCTCTTCCTTCCCGCTGCGGTCAGAAACCTGAGGGAGTCCCTTAGTGTCAGAGGACAGCCCCAGGCCAGCTCGTACCTCCATCGGGGGGGGACATCAGAGGGTGATGGCCCAGCGGGCATTTCTCTGATGGCATCGTGTCCTTGCATGATGATGGTTGAGGTGACAGTCCTATGAGGATCACATCTGTACCAGACACAGGTCGAGATGAAGATTATCGTCCCCAGTGGTGTTTTGCATCACCCCTTGAAGGGCCCCAGTCTCTTCTCTCTCGGCACTGTCAGTCCACTTCCTCCCTGTTACCCTTTCCTGCTTTTCGATGAGCCCGAGGATCCTATTTCTTTTCCCTTGGCTGCTAGGAAGCTCACTGTTCGCCTAGTCTCAACCTAGGTTTTCTGGAAATAAAACTACCGTTGCCCAGGTCTCCCCACATGGCTGCTGTAGATACATTATCGCCTTCTCTTTTCACAGAGCCCACTTGGCATCATGCCAGATGCCCACATGCGATTCATAAACTCCCCCAATTTTGACATCGCAAATGGCAGAGCCAGCACTCAAAGCCAGTAGTCTCAGTCCAAAGCCAGTTCACGCGATGCCCCCCTTTTATGGTCCTACCCTCAACCGACCACACTTCGTTCTTCTCAAAGACTCCATGAATGGCCCCGCCACGGCCCCAGCCTTCCCGGCCACCGCCGCAGCACTTTGGGGAAGCATCTAGGGGACCACTGATCGATGACTCCATTCTCACCGCTGGCTGTGGGGCACTTCTGCCGCAGCACCTTGTCCTGGTTCCGTGGCCACCGGACCCACGGTGTGTGGCAGGGTGTGTAGCTCGTCGGAAGGCCCGTGTAGGAGACGCTGGTGCCCCAATTACTGGGTCAGAGTCTACACATGCAACCAGGGCGGAGGAGGCAGCAGGTGCATCCTCGTCCTGGGGCTGGGTGGATGGGGTCACACCCCCTTGGCCACTCGGGAGTGTGCACTAGAAAGAAAGTGGATGGTGGAACGTGACCCCCCCCACCCCCGAGTTGGTCCCGACCCCAGCTCTGTAGCTCACAGGACAAGCAACCTGGACTTTTCCAAGTCTCAGCTGCCTCCCCCTGTAAAATGGATGAATTTGAAAACATTATGCGACCTCAAAGGAGCTAGACACGGAGGCCGCTATCGAACGAGTCCATTGGTACAGAACGTCCAGAAGGAACAGATCTGCAGAGACAGCAGATTCGCGGTTCCCGGGGCTGGGGAGTGACTGCTAATGAGTGCGGGTTTCCCTGGGGTGACAAAAACGTCCAGCTGGTGATGGCTGGACAACGTTGTGCCTCGGCTAACACCCACTGAATCGTATACTTTGCAAGGGTGAACTTGACGGCAGGTGAGTTAGAGCTGAAAGCAAATCATGCAGGTGGACAGGCTGGAAAAAAACACAAAAAGGGTCCTGGCACCACTGGCCAGGGACACATCACACGACACAGCAGAGCCCGGCCCACTGCCTACCCTGAGGGAGAGGTCCTCAAACGTCGGCCCCTCCTGGATCTGGCCACAGCCAACCGCCGGCTTCCGGGAGACGTCCCAAGGCAGAGGGAGAGTGGCCCGAACGCAGCGACCTCCAGGACACCCCAGGTCCCGTAGAGGGTCAGTGCTGGCAAGCACAGCGACCCAGGAGCACCTGGGCCGCAAGCTGCCTCTCCCCCCACCCCCGTTCCCCCGACCCTGACCCTGGGGCAGACCTCTGGGCCCCTCGCCCTCAGCCACAGGCATGACACCCAGAATTGGCGGGGGGGGGGGGGGGGGGGGGGGGCCGGGAGGGAACCGCACACAGCTCACTGGGTTTCCAGGCTCTTTGGGTCCAGCCAGAGGGAAAGGGACAATCCCTGGGACCCTCCCATCGGAGTGTGGGCCAAAGCAGGGCTCCCTGGGCCTCAGCCCCTACTTCTGTTATGAAGTGTGTCTCTTAGAAATATTAGGTTGAAGTCCCCACTCCTAGAGCCTGTGACTGTGACCTTGTTTGGAAACAGGATCTTTGCAGACCCTAAGGAAGTAAATTCAGATGAGGTCATCCTGGACGAAGGTGGCTCTAATCCAATGACTGGGGTCTCATACGAGGAGAGAAATCTCGGGGCTCCTGGGTGGCTCTGTCGGTTAAGCATCCGACTTCGGCTCAGGTCACGATCTCGCGGTTCGCGAGTTCGAGCCCCGCGTCCAGCTCTCCCCTGTTAGCGCAGGGATCCTCTAGCCGCCTCCCCTCTACCCCTCCCCCACTGGATCTCACGGTCTCTAACTTTAAAAAAAAGAGACTTGGAAGGACACACAGGGCAGATGACCACGCGGGAAGGGAAGGCCAAGAACCGCCACGGATGGCCAGCCACACCGCAGGCTGGAAGGGGCAGGGGATCCTCCCCGATAGGCAGCGCGGTCCTGCCCACACCTGCATCTCGGGCTCCCGCCCCCAGACGGTGAGGGGACCCTTCTGCCCTTCGAAGCCCCCAGGCTGTGGTCCTTGTCAGGGCGGCCCGAGGACCCGAATCCGCCCTCCTCGGCATTGCGCCCGAAACCCTCTGAACCAGCAGAAGCCCAAATGAGCAGCCTCAGGAGGCAGAAGGTATCCATTTCTCCAGCATCTTTATGAGGCAAGGACACGGGTCGCACAGCTGGACGCAGGCAGCTGCACCAGGGCAGCCATGGGGCCGGGCCGACCCCCTCCCGCTCAGAGGAGTTCCAAGGCGGCTGCCACCGTGCTCTGCCCGAAGATGAAGGTGCCCACGAGCACGGAGACCACTCCCCACGCCTCCAAACAGCACCTGCCAGGCCAAGAAATACACATCGAGCACGCTCTCCTCCGGAGCTCTGCACAGACAAGCCAAGTGCACGCCGAAGGCTGATCACACGAAGCCAGGAGAGCCACCAAGTTGGAAGAAAAACCCATGGTATTCCCCCCCCACCTGTCGGGATGGGTTTCCAAGACAAGGGGAGAGAAGGGCCCCCTGCGATTAAAATCACTCACTGCCTCTGTTAATTCCGTTCCTCCCCTGGGGGAGGGAGACACCTTTCCAGTCCCTTCCCTTTGGGGGCAACGGGAGGAGGGGCATGAAGCCCCCCCTAAAAACGATGAAGGAGAAGAAAGCCCGAAGTCACCCACGATGGGGACAGCGGCTGGCCACGGGGACAGAGGCGGTCGCCCTGACAGCCACTGAGGCCACATCTGCAAGCTTCCCGACGCACCAACAGAGACCGTGCAGACAAGGAAATGAAATTCCTACAGACAGCAGGGCGGCCGGACACATTTATGGCCCCATTAACAAAGGCCACAGGACCCGATGTTACGGAAAGATGGTCTCCAGCGAGACAGAATCGTGAACGCCCCCAATACGGAGGTGGGGAGAGCATGGGGAATGTTCTCGGGCCTGCAGGCTCCTAGAGCGGTTCTGAGGGATCAGAGGCCCTACGGCAGCTCTAGAGTTAAAAATACCTTCAAAGCCCAACAGTAAAAACTGTTGTGAGCCTGGATCAAGGCACAAAACAGAAGCAGCAGGGCCTTCAAAGACCACTGCCGGGAAACAGCCGCAGGTAGGAGGCCCCAGACCATCGCGGCTGCCCCAAGCCCGAGTCAGGTTCAGAGACATCCAGAAAAGCTCTTCCCCCAGAAGGGAAGGAAGCCTTGCCCACGGCTGTGGGAAAACCAGGCCGGGGCTCGATGAGGCGGGAGGGAAGGAGAGAGAGACACTGGCCTCCGGGGGGGGACCCAAGCCCCCGGCTGCTGGAACACAGGAGCATCTGTCCTGGGCTGAATGGCAGTCCCCAGGATTCGTGTCTACCCCAAACCTGTGACCGTGACCTTATTTAGGAACAGGGTCTTTGCAGATGTAACGAAGTTAAAAATCCGGAGAGGAGATCATGCTGCGTTTGGGGTGGGCCCTCAGGGCAGTGACAGGTGTCCTTATAGAAAGGCGGCACATGGCGGGGCGCCTGGGTGGCGCAGTCGGTTAAGCGTCCGACTTCAGCCAGGTCACGATCTCGCGGTCCGTGAGTTCGAGCCCCGCGTCGGGCTCTGGGCTGATGGCTCGGAGCCTGGAGCCTGTTTCCGATTCTGTGTCTCCCTCTCTCTCTGCCCCTCCCCCGTTCATGCTCTGTCTCTCTCTGTCCCAAAAATAAATAAAAACGTT